CTGGCAAAAGGCTCTGAAATGAGGTCAATGATGGAAAAAACTCACATATTATATATTATTTATTAACAAAAATAGCATGTAATTTGTAGGTTAGTAACACTTTGATTGTTCCACTTTATTATCAACTTATTACATACACAATTACTGACTCGATATTTAATAACAGCTTGAAAATTAGCATGTCATTTTAGGCTAGTTTCAACTTGTTACCATAATATTACTATATCTAAAATCTAAAAAAAATAAAAACTAATTACAAAAATGGAGATGCGATTTTTTTTCGACAGTGATATATGTGCTTAGTATATTTAATTCATATTTTGTGCCATTTTTGAATATTTTAATATATGTATATACACAAAAATGTTAATATACTGAAATATATGCACATTTGTAGATGAAATATATGTATTAGTGTCAAATTTTAATATTTACGTATTATAATATGGCAAACTTGACATATATTTTGTAAAGTTTGTGGAAATTTACATATGGAGACTAACTATAACTCAATAGAATTTCACAGGAAAATGAAAAATAGTAAAGAAATAAAAACTATGCTAAAAACACCCGAACCTTGGAACATCAGGTTCTTGAGCACTGCAGCCAAATGTACCGAAGTGAAAAGCAGCATCAAAGCATGATGAGAATAAGGAGTTTTGGCGACAGGAGCTTCAGTTCTACCTGCAGTTCTGCACAGATGTTTGAATCCAGTCTTATTGGTAACATATAGCATGCATGGTGTAAAAAGGGTTAGCTCTCCTTGGTACATTTCACCTCATCATGTCTCTGAGCTTGCTAGAAGTAAACATCCGCGTTTGTAAGTGACCCATATCTGTGACCTGCATTACTGTAAACACACCTCTGCCCTGAAACGACCCACATCCTGATCAGTAACATAATGTGAATGATCCAGGTGCATCATGAGCAACAACAACAACAATAAATCAACAAACTGGAAGCACAAGCGTTCATTATAAAGATCAATGCTCTACACAGCTGTCAGGTGTTCATAATTAAGGCTAGAGGGCACAAAAGCTTCTGCATTACTGGCACTAATGCTGCCAGCACCAGATGATGGTAATGGTAAAATGTGCATGTGTAATGAAAACATGAAACATACAGTACTGTGCAGATGTTTTAGGCCCCTCAGAAAATTAGAATTAAAAAGCTGTTTACCTGGGCAGGAAGTGTGTATTTGTCCAGAAAACCACGATTACAAAAAAGTAATTGTATATCATTTAACCATTTCCAAACCTCTCCACAAGGAAGCCCAATATTATTTGTAGTAACCATCCATATTTTAGCTCAGCCAATGCTTTATTTAACTAAATCAGTGTGCTGGTGATGGAATTTAACATATTCATGTTAGAAGACACCTGAAACCAAACTTTTTTTCTTCAAACTAGGTCATATCGTCTACTTTTTTGAAAAGAAGCCATTCTTGTTATTTTTTACTATATTTGTGTTTATTTGCATGTATTCTAATGATATATGCAAAAACACACTTATTGCCAAGATAAACAGTTTTTAAACAATGTCCTCAAGTGCCTAAGACTTTTGCACAGGTGTGGTTACATGACCTCAAATCTAATATACGTGCATCTTAAGACAATATTTGAAAGTAATGTTTCATAAGAACTGATGAAAAAATGAGACCAGTGTCAAATTAAAGCAAGCAATTACAAGTGCCAGTTAAACATGGTAATGTGAACATAGCCATGTGGTTCTGAACACCAGCAACAGCTACTTTCACATGCATTTAGAAGTGGACCAAAAAACACACACACATGCAGTGAAAAACCCCCAACTACAAGCTCTATTACAATATTTTCTCAAATGTACCACTGTTTTAAAGGTATTACCTCTTTTTTATTGCTGTAAAATGGCACAGCTTCTGCTGCTCCTGCTGTCGGACACAAAATTACAGTTCTAGTAGTATCATATTTTGGTTTATGTTTCATATTTAGGACGCCAGTAGGTCTGTGATGATTTGATAAGTGTTATTACAGCAGCATATTATTATATTGTTATTACAGCTGTTCAAGTACTTTAGGTTCAATGTTAGCTATGCACAAATCACATTTCATTGTTTTAGTCTGTTACTGGGCAATGTTCTCATAACTACGTAGATTACATATTCATTTCATAGTAGCTAATGAATGTTAAAGGGCCACTCCAGCCAGACTAGGAAACCTCCTTCTGATGATGTGTTTTGAAGATGGGAGGAACTACAACTGCTTTGGGGTAGATTTTTGAAGCAGGCTGTTTGAAATGTGCTTTCTAGGTTACTAACAGTAACATTAGCTGTCTGGGTTCCTTTTGGGTTCGCCAGCTAGGGAAAAAAACACATTTCAAACGCACAAAAGCACCATGAGTGTGTAAATGCACACTCAGACCTGCAGCACTTGCTCTGCGTCCCCCAAAAATCCACCCTAAAGGCCTATTCACAGCAAGTACTGATATGTTTTTTATGTACACAAAACACACAATGGTTTGTTTTTTTTTAACTCTCTGCAACCTCAGGAAAAAGACGGAGGAAAGAAAAATGGATTCTTCACGTAGTAGTGATGATTAATTTAGCATCTTTCTTTTAAGCACTGCAACTAAAAGGTGCACACACTACAAGCAAACATTCTCAAAAAGATCTATTACTCCTTCCTCTTACTACGTTCCCTGAGCTTTTAAAATGCGTTGGATTTGCTGTGGAGGTTCTACTGTGTTGAAAATTGCAGCTTTTTTTTGTCATCCTGAAAATTGTAGCAATAGGCTATGAAGCAGTTGTGGTATTTTAGTAGTCAGCACCTTCAAGATACATCATCAGGGGGGTTTACTGTTCTGGCCGGAGTGTCCTTTGAAGTCTAAATTAATAACAGAATAATTATGGCAGAGGAAGTTTAAAGGGAGCCTGGTCATGTCCTATTCCTACCATTATGCTAAAAAACATTATGGCGAAACCCCAGAGGACACCCACGAGCGAGTCCTCAATGAATGGGTGTGAATGGAGTTAAACAGCTAAAAAATGTTAATCAAACATATTTTCTAGCCATCATGCAGGAATTTCTGTTGACTTTGGAATTACAAGAATATGTGGCATAAAAATAAAATCAATGAAAACTTCCCAGTATTTTCAATGTGTTTTTCTACAACAAACAGCTTTAGTGCAGTGGGATGCCAGCATTATGACTGCTAAGTGCTGATTGGTTGGTGAACTGTTCAGTTTGCACTCACTGGTATCATGAACATCCTATAACTGGGGTTAAAAAGCATTCAAAAATATGACATGTTGGAATATTTTATGCTGTTCTGTACAGTTTGTCACAAAAGCTGTAGGAACTCATTCATTTTGGACTCTGTCTGCAGCCATCTCTGACAAACCCAGGAGACATTATTGAGTGGCAGTTCTCCTCACAGGACATTCTCCATTAATGCAGTTTAAGGAGTTAAGACCAAGAATGTTTTCTCAAAAGGGTGGTGGCTCTTGTCCTTGTTCCCCCCTTCTCTGAACAGCTCAGTCTTCAGCATCCCACTGGAGCAATGTTCCAATTCCACATCAGTTATTTATTGATATTGGTGGTGATGCCCCAGGTGTTGAATGCCAATTTGATTCCAGATTTGATTCCTTTTGAATGAGGCTCACCAAATGTGGCTAAATGTTCATGCTGTTCTTTTCTTTGTTCTACATTTTGGTGTAGCTGCCTTTTTCAGTGTTTTCAACTGCCACATACACTGTTGCACATCTTTTCTTTATTGCATCTGGGCTAAATTCTGTTGTCTGTAGTTATCTGTAGTTCAGGCCGTCTCATCTTTCTTCCTTTATTATTTTATCTCTAACTGGAAATAGCACGAGAGAGAATTCCAACATACTTCCAAATAGCCAATAAAAATCCGAGACCTTGAGCCTGAGGTGTGTCGGCTGATGAAAGTGAAAGGTAGACAGGTGAAATGTAATGGAAGGCATGTTGGTGGAGCCTCATTTAATGATCTTTGGCTTTATTGTCCTCCAGCAGTACTTCACAGCTTTTGATTGCTGGCAGGTAGTTCACTAAGGTTGTTTACTGGCTTCTCCTTTTCTTCCACAGTTAACGTCCAGGTTCTTCTCTGGTTGAGGACTGTTTTTCTGCTTAAATGTCCAGACTATTTTCAGACTGAAAAAGATCTGTACGTCTGCAGTGTTCTCTGTCTTGAGTCATTACTTATCCAAAGGTTCAGTGGTCAGCTTTGGTACTCACCTCAAACATGAATCCTTGTTCAACCTGCATCTCAGTTACTGAGTATAGAATAGAACTTGTTATTTTGGTTTCCAGTGTTTTCCATTGATGAGTTTCAGAAGTGTGGTATAAATATCTGACCACATAATGATTTGGTCTAAGCACTGATCCTATAGCTGGCAGATTGCAGGTTCAATCTCTGATGATGCCTCAGCCAGGGGTTCAAAGGAACATAATTGGACTTGCTCTTTCTGGGTGGTTGAGGTACCAGGGGCCCCAGTCACTCAGAGTGTTAGCTAACCTAACAGCATTGGTAGTTTATGTTCTCCTCCAAGCATGTTGAACTGTCCAATAACGTAATAGCTGCAGTTGGAAAAGATGCAGTGGCATAACCCCTCCCCAGAATTGTAATCGACAGAATTGGACACAACAAAATTGGGTAAAAAATGAATCAATAAATTGTAATAATCAGTCTGATTCTGTTTCTATTTTCATTTGATCTTCATTTTGCATGTGGATTATGTTATATCTCATCTTGTCTCCTAAAAAATGAACAACTTGAACCTAACTGACTGGAAAGTGAACAAAAGGTAGTCTCTGACTTTTGCACAGTATTGTACATTTCATTGTTGCTGTTTTAAAGAATGAATGTTGTTTTTCTGTATTTTCACCTGTGTTTTGCCGTATTCTTAAAAAAATAAAACAAATCATGTAAAGTTAACAGCACACTGAATGTGATTTTTTTTTACAATACACTTAATGTGTTTGTGTGTGTGTGTGTGTGTGTAGCCTGCAGTGATGCTGACCTGAGGAGTTTGGCCTCCAGACTGAAGGACTGGTTTGGTGTGCTACACCTGGACGCCAACAGAGATCTGAAGACTTCTGCCAATGACAACGCTCAAGGACGTAAGTAGTGTGTGTGTGTGTGCGTGTGTGCATGCGAGCTTACATACATGTATTGGTTAGTGTTTTGAAGGATGGAACTCTCAATCCATACTATAATCGGCCTTTATAGTCTTTATATAATGCCTCTTTCTCTCTGCTGCAGGTTTTGACACCAGCATTCTGCCCATCTGTAAAGACTCTCTTGGTTGGATGTTCAACAAGCTGGACATGAATTATGACCTCTTGCTTGACCAATCAGAGCTCAGCGCCATCTACCTGGACAAATATGAGCTGTGCATGCGACCGCTCTTCAACTCCTGCGATTCCTTTAAAGATGGAAAACTCTCCAACAATGAGTGGTGTTACTGCTTCCAGAAACCAGAGGGTGAGAGGGAAAAAGAAATAGTGAAAAAAACAGAGAGGGGAGAGAGAGAGGGAAAGACAGAGACAAAGAAAGACAAAAATAGAGAAAATAGTTGGGTTGTTTTTATTTAAAGTGGCAGTGGGTCAACTACAGGTCTGAAATAAATGTATGTGAATGGATTTGTTAATGTGTGTGTGTGTGTGTGTGTGTGTGTGTTTGTTTCTCCAGGTCTGCCGTGTCAGAATGAAATGAACAGGATTCATGCTCAAAGCCGACGGAAGGCTCTCATAGGTGGGTTTACACTTGTCAGTCATTAAGCCTGAGATTTATTTCATCCAATATAATGAACAGGTTTTAATTTCCAGCATCCATTAGAAGCAACAGATTGTGTGTGTGTGTGTGTGTGTGAGAGAGAGAGACATGCTGCAGGAGCCTTGCAGAAGTGTAGTTATAATTGATTTGAATTCTAATGGCTCTCAGTGTGATTTATGTGCATCCGCGCTTGATATTTTCCTCTGTGATCAATAACGCTAGCTCTCGCTGACACTCTCGCCCTGAGCACCCACCCCCGGGCCTGTGCAGCCCAATGGGCATCAATAATCCAGCACAATCATAAGTGTTTCATAACTCACACCACAACACAGCCTGAAAAACAACAACCTGAGCGTGTGCTAGTGTGGCTGTGTGCGCGGGTGTGTGGGAGTCACATTTTAGAAGGTGAAATCCAATCAGTGTTCTTTATATCTGGTCCCTAAGGCCAGTGATGTGCTGCAGCTGTCCTGCTCAGGCGGATGCTAAAAAAGAGCAGGCTCATCCTGTACCTGTTCCTTTTTTAGTGTCTGTAATGATGGAGGACAGCAGGTGGAGGAGGTAAACTCTTGGAAGTTTGAAATTATTATTGTTTTTTGCTGTATATTCGCATTCACATTATGTATTGTTATATGAGGACTGTCAAAGTGACTACTCTGGTTAAATAAAGGTTAAAATAATAGAGTGCATATGTCCATGTGCTTTTTACACAGGGAAACTAAGAGCAGATCTCATAAACTGGGGACGCATTTTAAAAACAAGTATAAATGGAATCCAGCCAGCATATATCCAGATAAGATCTAGACACAAAACACATGTTAAAACAAGATGTACACAGGCACTTTAGTAAGGATTGAAGTAACACTTTTGACTTTCACTTATTTTTGTTTTCTTCTTTTCCTGTTACCAAACACTTACAACAATAGAAGAAAATCACTAAACATGACTGTAATTTCTTCTATACCATATATATATATATATACATATATATATATATATATATATATATAGTTTTTTTTTTTGACCTGGATCCCCATTAATATAACAGAATAACATAAAGGCAAATGCACATAAACATTCTAGACAGCATAAAATATACATTTTATATATATGCACATTATATAGACAAAATATTGCTCATGGTTCTCAGTGATGGTATTATTGCACAGTGTAACAGGAAATGTAAACTTGACACTGGTGAATAGTGATAAGGTGCTCAAGTGATAAGAACAATGAAAATATCTCACACGGAATAGCTGCATTTTTAATATAGAAGATATGAGCTCCAATAAATGTGTTCTGAGTATATGTACTTAGACAGTCTGTATGTGTTTTTAAAACAGTCTGTGTTCGTGTTCAAGAGTTCAGCAGCCCTGATAGGCCAGCATGTTGCATGTGTTGTTAGGGAGTTGAGTAGTCTAATGGCCTGTGGGAAGAAGCTCTTGCTGAGTCGGGCAGTCTGGCACCACATGCTGTGGTAGTGTTTGCCAGAGGGCAGAAGGCTGAACAGTCCGTGGACAGGGTGGGCGGAGTCTCTGACTGTCTTGGAGGGTCTGCTGAGGCAGCATTACAGGTATAGTTCTTGTATGGACAGAAGTGGTGTTCTGATGCTATCCTCACCACTCTCAGGGACTTCTGAATAAATACATTATGATGAAGCTTATTTAACCGGACCGTACAGACAACATTATGCTTTCATCAAATTCAAATCATGATAAAATATCTCCTTTTCTTTTTGCGAGCACAACTGTGGCATCTGTTAAGAGATTCTGCACTTTAAACAGAATTTCTCCACTTGTTTCAATGAGCTTTGAGTGAGAAATCATTGAAGATGTAAGAAGAGGCACTTCAATGCATATATACTATGAGGGACATCAGAGAGTAAATACAGCAGCTTTGTCTTTATTATAGAAGGCACTGAAATGTTTTGATGGGGTTCATCTCTTGTCTCACAGTGTAGAAACACTGTGGTTTATTCATAGATCTTTTTATGCATTTGAATGCCAGCAAAGCTCTTGTCACTTATGTGTTCCAACTACTCAACTGTGATCTATTATTATATTACATTAGTGCATAATTATTGTATTATATTGTCACTGTCAAAACTTTATTACTAAATTTTTGTCATTTTTTATTTGTTACACTGCAATTTTAAAAAAACAATGGCTGCCCTTTACATTTAGTGATGCATAAAATAAAATGACTATCCTATCATTAAAATGAAATGAAATCCTGTCACATATATTATGTAACATAACTAATATAGCTGGTATATATATATATATATATATATATATATTATATTTTACAACATTGCTTACAGCCTACTTAGCCATTGAAATGCTGCTAGTTTCACAGAGCTGATGTTAGCAAACCTTACCTAAGATCAGTTAGTGTGCCATGCTATTGGTATGCTAGATTCACATTATTGCTTTATCTCAAATCATATCAGCATGTCTGTGACTGACTGCTGGAGAGTCAAACTTGATGGAGTCCCGTGGTGGTGTCCAAAGAAACAGATGAAAATGAAGCAATTAAAGTTGTTTATTAATCGTGGAACTGAACAATCAAATTGTGCTCTGTGAAAGTCACGTGTGATATTCTTCTTCTCCTTGACTTGTAAGGCATCTTGAAATAAAAAATATCGATTTATGAGTTCATAAAAATAAATAATGTTTATAAGGGTAAGTGCAAAAATGCATCTTTAAAAGTCAGTATATGGAAACAGCCTGGTTATAACCAGTCCATAAATGGCATATACGTAAGTGTACGCCCAACTACACCACTGGTTAAGAATACTCTCTTTTCTTCTCCTGAAAACGTTTTTAAGATACAAGGTTTTATTGTAATAGAGACGACAGCTATTTTTGATGCAATATTTTTCTTTCTTCATTCTTTTATCTATTGTTTTTTCTTTCTCTCTGAGGGCTAGTTGGGTCCAACAGTTTGCACTCCTGGATCCAATAGTGGGAAAAGGAGAGTGCAGATTTCATGACAAAGTGGAAGCATTAATATATAAAGTTTTGTAATATTAGATCTAATGCTTTATTGGTATTGATGAGACATTTTCTATCAGGATATTCATTGCTGGAGTGAGATCTGTGCTGGGCTAGATACCTGGAAGAAAGACAAATACAAGGCTATGTGGTGATCCTGAGCTGATGCAAATAGGACAATATAAAGATCAGTGTGCATTTCACGTGCTGGTGCACAATGTAAAGAGTTTTTCAGTTTATGAGGAGTGAGTGGTGTATTGTATGTAAATCATAATGATGTTATAATGTTTATATAATGTTTTCAGAACTCTTACATGTCCTAGTTATCACCAGGGATAGCATCCCTGCTGTTTGATATCGTTTGATATTGTTTTTCACTTATAGCATAAAAACAGGCAAAGTGTGAATTCTAAATTTTGAATTCATACCATAGTTGAGTTGTGTGTAGAAGATGAGGTTTTCTGTTATTATTTCAATGTGATAAAGAAGTGAAGTGCTCATAGTCATGTTTTGCGAAAGGAAAAAACATTCTTTATTAATTTTTTCTGATTGCTTGACATTAAAACAAAAGGGAAAAGTGCAAATGCAAACATGCCAATACAAAATGTCAATGTAATTCCTTACATAACTGTTACGCACTGTTATGTAATTACATGTGAATTATTCTATAATTATGCAATTATATTGAAGTAGCATAGCAGAAGGTCAGTGATAACTGTAGGTTTCTAAGAGTTTCGTTTTAAAGGAAGGAAAGAGAGAAAGAAAAAATAAAACGGGTAACCAGACCTGGCGCCAGAACTAAATCATGAGTGAAGCATCTGAAAGCCACTGGGTTGGGGGGGGGCACAGCCTACACATCACATCTTTATAATGCAGCTGCGTTTAAACCCTATGTTAACCCCCTAAAATCCCAGGCTTATTATATACTAAAGCTTATTATTCGGTAACTCCAGGGACTTCAGTGCAAACTGGCTGAGGTATTCTTAGGTTATAGGAGTGTGTAAAAAATTTGGTCATTTAAAGGGTTAATTGATGTAGAGGATGTAGAAATAATCGATGTAGATGTACAAAAAGCATGTACAAAAAGTAGTGGGTTTAGGGCATGTTGATTGGCTAATGGGGCATTGCCCCTTTTAATGCCCCCCTGAACTCAGGCCTGCTTTTAACTCATGTTTTATTTTATCTGTGCTGATCAATATTGTAGTTTGAGAAATTTCTCCTCCACTCTCTCTCTTTAGGAGCATATATCCCCCGCTGTACAGAAGATGGCTACTTTAAGGCTACACAGTGTCATGGCAGTACGGGGCAATGCTGGTGCGTTGACAAATATGGCAATGAGATTGCAGGGTCCAGAAAACAAGGCAACCCCATTTGCGGTAGGTTACATCCTCATACCCCCCAGTAACACACTCGAGTGATTACACTGCAATTGCTCCATTAAAGGACACAAAGCCATACACACAGGCCATAACATCATGTGCAGATTGCTGTAGGCAGTGCCCTTTGAGACACCCAGTGACATTATGGAATATAGGATGTCTTAGAGAAGCACATGAACTTGTGTGTATGTGTGACAGAGTGTGTGTGTGAGAGAGAGAGAGTGGGGGCACGCAGAAAATCTAGTGTGCTTGTTTTATGAGATATCTGAAAGCCCATAAGTCAAAACAGTGCTGTTTCGCCATGTCCCATCACAGTAAAAGACTATAATAGATAAATAATGCCATTCTCTCTTCCTGCTCTACTGGCTGTCCATTCATCTCCCTCACCCCATCTCATATCTGTCTAACAGCTGTTCCTCCAGCATCGACCCGTTTCACCACCCCTGACTTTGTGAATGTGTGTGTGTGTACGTGTTTGGGTATGCATGTGTTTGTGTACATATGTTTTCAAGACTGACTTTGTAGAAGACAATAGTGTGGAGTTCATTTCTGCCAAAGGTTTTAAATAAAATAATAAAAACCACAAACAAAATATTATGTATCAAAATGTATTATGTATCCAAAATATGTTGCAAGTACAAACAATGAGAGTTAAATCAAACTTAATTTTTCCAGAACAGTACTGCTTATTTTCTCTTATTCTGGTATAAATTTATTACTCCATATTACTCCTATTTGCTGATTTTGCTGATTTTTTGTGTGAAATTGCTCTTTTTTTGCTCCTGAATTTTTTCTTTTGCTTCTAACTTTTGACCCTTTTTAGCAGGGGGCATGTCTTAGAAGAAGGCGTTAACCTGTGCTCTCTATTGGTCAACTGATTTGAAGTGACAGGTCTTCAGGACACATAGCCACACCTACTCCATGAGCCGGAATCTGCCTGGAACATTATAAGGGTTGTCCAACATTATAAGTGTTGTTTGCCATATTTATTAATGCAGCACATTCTCTGGGTTGTGTGTTTACCTGTGTGAAATAAAAATGTTGGAAATTGAAATATATTAGGTTGACGTAGCTGCTGAAAAAAGCTGCCACTGTTCGGATTTGCAGCTGCTAGCGCTAACTAACCTAGCAGTGTCTGCTGAAGGGCTAACTAGGCGAGTTTTGCAGCTGTTTAAATCAATGTTTATTAACCCTGCTTCTGGATGCCACATGGTCTCAACTGTTCTTTACCTTAAAACACCTGATCCAACTCAAGTAATTACTGAGCCTTTCATGAGTGGAATCCGGTGTGTTGGGTCAGGAAATCATTGAATCTGTGTTGCTGTCAGTCGATGGAAATAATGTAGCACTGGCATAAATAGTAAAGAGTGGAAAATTTGACTGATTACTGCCAGCTACAAGTTACTGCTGCTGTGAGATCGCTGATAGGTGGCCATATTAAACACTACAAAAGGAAATAAAGTTGACATCATTGTTGGCCATTAACGTTTTGAGAGTTATGAAAGCTATTATGCCAGTCTTTCCTCATTTCTGTCCACAAAATGCCTGTTTAAAGAATGCTGTTGCTCCGAATCACTGTCTTCATATTAAGCACAGTGAACATGCAGTATAACCATAGATATTTAAGCCGTTTACTTTCGTTACCAGTATGGCAGGGGTGCACAGTCCTGGAGGAACCTGGCAGGTTGAATCAGGTGTGTTTAAGCAGGTAATTCACCAAAATGTGTGGACACCGGCCCTCCAGGTCTGTAGTTTTGCACCCCTGTGGTATGGCCAGCCTTGTCTGCCCTAGAGGACACTGCAAAGCTAGCTGTAACAGCTTCATTATGCCCAGAATACCAGTTATATCCTTTTATACAGGTCAACACAGGACTTATATGGATGTTACATTAATAATTTAAAAAGAATATGACAAATGTGCTCATAATCACAGATATGCCAGTACAACTCTGCACCCACAGCAGAACTCAGTATGACGTGTTCCACCATGTTGATTACGGTTCATGTTGAGTGGCTACATGTTTAACAGATCTGTCTCTCCAGATCAGTTGACCGACAGAGAGTTCAGGTGAACATAAGCAGAGTTTTTCTCTACAAGCACATTTTCATGCACAATTGTTACTTATTTGCTAAATGTAACATATTGGGGGAAAAAATTACATATGAATTATGTATAATATCAAATTATTATGTATATGTATATACACTACTGCTGCACATGCTTTCTGCATTTGCTTTTTCGATATTTAAATTTGTTTCCTGTAGAAATTTTTTTTCACATAGAAAATGAACAAAACACATAATTTTACTCTGGGTATTCAAACTTTTGCACACGACTGTATGTATTACATACTATGTATGTATTGCATACGACACTGTCTAAAAATAAACCTGTTTCTGTGTGTGTGTGTGTGTGTGTGTGTGTGTGTGTGTGTGTGTGTGTGTGTGACTAGAAGAGGATCAGGAGACTTCAGGGGATTTTGGAAGTGGAGGAGCTGTGATTCTCCTCGATGACCAAGAGGAAGAGGAGGCGGAGCCTCAGCAGCATGGCCGACGCAGACAGAAGGAGAAACGTGCTCGGCTCCGCCCCCGCGGGGCCATCGAGGATGACGAAGACGAAGAGGACGACAAAGAGGATGAAATGGGTTACGTCTGGTAGCTCCACCCCCTCATCTTCTGCTGGCCAACCAGGGACCCCCATTGAAATGCAAAGTTCTGAAGCCATTCCAACTCCACCAACCTGGACCTGCCCCTCAGAATATAAACTCCACCTCTAAACATCACCCCACCCACCAGAGCTCATTTACAGCCTGCTTTATCATCTTACTTGCATTTTCTTTTTCTTTCTCTTATCGTCTGATCTCTGTCCTTCTCTTCCCTCCTTCTGCATCTTCCTGTTTCAACAACATCAAACAGTTGAAATCAGCAAGGACTCATAACGATGCTATCGACTATGTTCTCAACCAACTGTTCTCTATCACTCTTCTACTAAAGCAGTGACCCTCTGTCAGCTAATTGGAAATGGCAACCACTTCTGATCTTATTCTCCAACATCTCTCTCTTTCTCTCTCTCTCTCTCTCTCTTTCTTCTCACCTTCTTTCCACTCGTTGTTAAACAGGAATCTGTAGCCCTCTTATTGTTCTCTGTCGAGCTTCTAGTGTGAAAATCTGAAGCCATCCGAGAGCTGTGGCTGTAAATATTTCTCTTTCTCTTAAGACAGATGAGGTGCCGTGTCCTCCTCTATTCTGTCTCCCTTCGTCCCAGAGTCTCCCACCCAGGCCTTCTAGAAGGTTCCTGAATATTTTAGAAGGTTTCTTCAAGAGTTATAGAATATCCCAGTAGATTCTGGTTGACAGAATTCCTATACTAGAAGGTGTGAAAGGAATTCCAGAGGGTTCTGGAGCATTCTGGAAGGTCTAGTGAGAACCTCAATGGGCCTATGCATGCTCCCCACTGTGGAGGCGAGAAGGTGATGTTTTTTTTTATTTGGTTGGTAGCTGATGAAAAGCCAATGAGTATAAGAAGCATTTTATTTTGTGATAATGCTGTCGTTTGCTGCCGCTCTGCTTTGTTCTGTCGCTGGATGGTTGCCACAGTGCTACCAAGAATCTGTGTATGTGTGTGTTTGTGTGTACGTCCTTCAGAAAACCTTCAGAGCATCAACTCCATAAGTAACGTTATCCAAAAATTACCCCAAGTTCTTGAAAGACCAACCATAATTCAAAAAGACATTTTTGCTCTAGAGTCATTAATCCTTTTATCCACTGCTATGCTAATTTAAAATATCCTCTGTCTTAGATTCTTATCGGTGTGTTAAAGAGAGGTTGTGACCACTTCCATCCGGGTGTGTGTACGTATGCTGTTCTGTGGAGTCCAGGTCCTGACAGACCATCGGGTTGTTTGACCTGACCTTTTCATAGCTCCACTAAAAGCTCTCTCACTCAGAAACAGAAAAAAAACGGAGGGCAAGAGAGAAACTCACTTCTGTTTCTTCGCTGACATGGTTGGTGCTTTTGTTAACCCCACTGAGATGCGTTTGTTGAAGAAATCACGCTTATCAAAGTGGAAGCAGCCACCATTTTATTTTGACAGTCCTTTCAGGAAAATTGCATCTACAAATGTTTCCCCCTACAGTCCTGCATCATAACCACTGTTTGTACAGAACTTACAGCTGCAGTTTTAAATTGAAATCTTAGGCCCCCCAGAAGATGTTCTTTTTTCTTTCTTTTTCAGTCTTTCTTCCTTTCTTCCATCATTTCTTCCATCATTTCTTTCTCTCTTTGCTTTTTCATCTCATTTTCTTTCACTCTGTCATGCAGTCATTCCAAGTCTATCACTAGGGCCATCTCTAGCCTTTTAGGGGCCCTCTTGCTAGTTGATGGACTGTAAAATTAGAATCTAACTATTACCACAAGCTGTCTAAATCATATCAACTTTTAACTGGCTAATGTGTGTATTGCTGGTGATTTGGTCCTCATTTGGGCTTTGATAAGTTACAGTTTGAATTACAGGTAACCTTCTCTGCTTTCTCAATCCAGGGGTCCATATCGTTTTCTTTTCTGGTTTTCGGCTCCAGATGTGTAAAATTTTTTTTTGAGACACAATTAACTAGTCAATCTTTAACCTCACTCGAGTATCTTAGACAGCCCAGTGGAACAGTATTAACTCGGAGGTTGTTAGACAGCCCCCTGGCTGCCTGTGTTGCTTATTAGGTAGAGCCAGCACCACTCTATCATGCAGTCAGAAGGCACATTATAGATGTACTTTTTACAGTGGTGGTGGATGGATATGCAGGTAGCCCTTCAACATTCAGTAGCCCTTTATCTTTCTTTCTTTTTTCATTCTTTTCTTTTTCATCCACATTAGAGCCATTCATGTGCTTTTCTTCCCTCTTTGGTCCCCTTTCTTACAATCCATCATATGGTAATAAGCTACAGTAGACCTTTTTATTTAGTACTCTCTTTAGTGGTGGCAGATGGATATGCAGCAGTAAGTCTGGTGACAAGTCAATCATAAAGTAGTTCTCTGAGTTTGTATTTGGTTTTCTTTCTTTCTTTCTCCATGTCTTTCTTTTTTTTTCTTTCTTTTTTCTGTACTCACTGTCTTTTTGTTCCACTTCATCATACAGTAATGAGCCACATTACCGCTGTTCATATTCTACCGTTTTTTAGTGGTGGCGGATGGATATGCAGCATTAAGTCTGGTGGCAAGTCGATCATTAAGTAGTCCTCTCTGATTTAAGGGGACGGGCTTGGAGCTGAAAGGCCGTTAAACGCAGGCCGTATGAAACAGACGTGAGCGAGCGCAGGGTTAAATAAAGCCGATTAGACTTGTCAGAAACACATGAGCTTAATCATGTTCCCCTCTCTGGCCTATGATCAGTGAAGAGACAGATTACAGCTCACTTCATTACTGATAGCGGCACTGACTGTCTGATTATATCACTTTAGTTCAGTTCAGGCTGTCTCTCTCTGTCTCACACACACACTCTGTCTCATGCACACACAGGTTTTTTCTCGTTAATGTGTCAACTCCTGTCAGCGGTGTTTTGTTTAGTCAGACTGATGCCCCTGAGAAATGTATCCTCATGTGTGTGTGAGTGTGTGCGTAAAGGGAGAAAGAAAGAGAGAGATAATAAATGATGATGATGCTGATGCTGATGATGATGATGATGATGATGATGATGATGATGTTGGTGATGATGTGGCCCATGATCACAGGGACAGGGGGATGATAGGTAATGAAAGCTGTTAGGCACCATGAAAGGAAACTGAATCTGGAGTCTCGCTCTCTCTCTCTGTTCAGTCATTCCTTGGTTTTACCTCTCTCTGCCTCACATCTCCCTCTCTGTGAGCTGCTTTCTTCTTGGATCGATCTCATTTTTCCCAAGTAACTGTGCTTGTAACATAATGCTGAAATGTTCAAAAACATGTAAGATACATAGATTTAAAATATCTCTCTATATGATATTTATGACTTTCAAAAAGCTGTGACTTTTTTTTTCTTTTCTCGTCAATCACTCACTCTTACTAGACCTTTCATTACCTATTTTTGACAACCTAAAGGCCGTTGCACACCAAACGAGATGTGAATTTAAAAAAAAAGTTAACACAAAACATTAAATATTCTAACAGTTTTTATGTTCACTTTCTGTTCACTTTCAGTGAAAACAGGCAGAATATCTTCAAGGGACAAAAGGACGTCCTCAGCTTCTCAAACAGTGACCTTAGGCAGATTATTTTTCCATTTTGGAAAAACAAAAAGAGCACCAAGAGTTTTACCACCTCATTCAGGAGCTGAAGCTTGATTAGCGCTTTGGTATATAGCTTGGATGTACATAACTCAATTTGAGCTGATATTGAAGCACCACACTGGACGAAACAGAGGGGGGGGGCGTTCAGATGACATTTTTTCAAACTCTCTCAAGCACACATACGTCATCCACAGCTGACCAATCAAAACTGAGGGTGTCTTCTCTCCAGTCCATCATCCAACATGTTTTCAAACACCCAGAACACTCAAAACAATGATTACCACAATCTGAACATGAAAACTAGTTTTCTGCTTATTTTTGTATATTGTCACTGTTGGAACAAAACCTTGTATCTCCAACATGTAAACTTTACAGGAGAAGGAAAAAAGTATTTTCTTGTTTTGTAATGAAGTAGTAATTTTGGACCATTTGTCTTGGTTCATTCGCTACGAAATTTTAACACAGTGCAAAGGGCAACTGGAGCTTTCAAACACTGAAAACAGTAAAAAAAAATGGCAAAAATGGAGATAGAAGATTTTTGGCCAACAGCAACGATATGTCAGTTTCAAAATGTTTATCCAGCATCTCAGTCTTTTGTATTGTCTCAAAACAATGTCTCATGTCCACTTACTTATCAGTCAATTGTGTTAACTCACCCCTAATAAGCACATCCTCCTTCTTTTTGCGTACGAGACACGACTGCCTCGTGGTTAAAATGGCATCATCTGAATGTCCCCTCATCCCTAATCTGTCTAAAAGTTCTAATTGCAGGGATACAGCCAATCGTGGTGGTTGCCATGCCAATGCAAGAGACAACAGTGATTGGTCAAGTGAGTTCATGTTGCCTGTGAAACTTTGCAAAAATTGAATAGAAGGTGTATAAAATAACACATTACATAACAATAAAATAACACATAAAACGTTGCTTAATGTAAATTACGTTTGGTGTGCAAGATACAGTTGCCCCCCAAAAAGTATTTGGACATTTTAACCATTGGTAAGTTACTTCATACAATGTTAAAACAATGATATTTGTTGCAGACGAAAACACTGTTAACACAACATCAAACTAATGGCAGACTCTGTGTGTGTAGAAAATCTGGAGAAGAATTCCAACCAGACTGCACTAAGACTACTGTAAACCACAGAGGTAGATACATCAAAGTCTGGGGCTGTTTTTCTTACTATGGTGTTGGTGAGCTTGTGGTCATTGATGTGATCATGAACTCAGAAGTGTACAAAGACATTTTGATGTAAAGAAGTCTGTAAAGAAACAATAACAATCTGAAACACTCCAGTCATCTCTTGATAGAAAATGTTTGTTTGAAATCAACACCACTTGGGTTGACATTTTATTTCCTCACACAATGAAATTAATCCATTTGTAAGTATGGCACAAATGTCCAAATGCCTTTTTAGGGCCACTTTGTGATCAATTACACATTTCTAAATTACTTTATTGACATCCTCTTGGTGTGTAAAGGCCTTAAGACTCCAATATTGATTTACTGATTGATGATTGGCCTACACACAAATACATATACACACAGAACTGCACACATGGTCCCAGAATTTGC